ATTTTTTGTAATACTACTTATATTCTTTTGTTTATTCTACGATTGAGAAATGTTTTTGTTTAACTTCCCTTCTTAGTTCACAACAACAAAACAACATCAACAACAACAACAACAACAAATTGGCTTGTTCGACACATTTAATTGGTAACAACTACGTTTTACACTAAAATTATGGTACATATATAAACACACACACACACACAAGATATATTTACGTAAATGCTAAATTAATGCAAAACTAAATAAATGTTAAATCCCAGAAAAAAATCACAATTGGCAAATTTCTTCATTGGTTCGTAACACCCTAATTCCCAAAATTCCCGAAATTCACAAAAAAAAAAACAATTTTTCGTTTTTTCCAGACAGACTGACGCCGACGAGACACGTACTGAATAAATTATGATAAATTAATAAACATATGAACATAAAGATGAATAATTTAGGCCTAGGCGACTTTTCAGTTCAGTTCTGCACAAATGACAAATTAAAGTTAAACAAACTAAACTATTAACATACTCGTACATACATACACGTATATGCGATAAATATGTGTTTAAAAGTAAACTTTAAGTGTGCCCCGCACCCCCCTACACGTCCCTCTAACCGACACTCTCTCTCTCTCTCTATCTCTCTGTCTCGCGATCTATCTCGAGTGTCTCTCTAAATGTGTAAATCAAGTTGTTGTAAATTTGTCTAATGAGAGGAAAAGAAATCGAAACAAGTACAAATTATATTTAACGTATGAGTGTTTCACTTTTCGTTTGTTCGGCAGTTTGTTCTCCTTTTGTATTACGCGTAATTAATTAATTAATTAAATTATTAAATGGTAGGTCACACGTAAAAAACAAATTAAAATTAAAACGAAGCAAGCAAGCAAGGCAATGCAAAAATGCAAAATGCAAAATACAAAAACTTTTGGAACAATGACGAGTACAAAATTTCAGGTAATAAACGTAGCAGTTAAATTAAAATTAACAAATATACTTAAACATGTGTATTAAGAACGTACAAATTTTTCGGCATAAAATATAACGTGCTAAATTACGAAAATTAAGAACAAACAAACAAACAAACAAAACAAAAAACAGGAGAAAAGTGTTTGCGAGAGCTGCCAACTCGTTCGATTTGGCAGGCAGTGTGACGTTAGGACAGTCCGTTCCAGATCTATCATTTCTTCCGCACCTCTACTCAGTTCTCCCCCTCTTTACTCATTACTCATTACCTATAATTATTAGGCCTGAGTTGCATTCAAAACGTTACAAAGAAACTTAAAACAAAGCAAAACAAAACTTGAGTTACACATTCCAAGAAACTCCAATACCAATAATAATAATAAATGAAACAAAAGCAAGTGCTGAACTGCAAAGCGAACAAAATTATACGATCAACCAAAACCAACAGCAACAATTCAAGAAATATAAAAAAATAAATGGCGCACCAGCCAGTCCATTTAAGTATATAAATTTATATACGAGTATAACTGTAACTGTATACATAAATTTGTAAAACGAACTACTAACATACAGACATAAAAACATAAAAACTTAACGTAAACATAAACATAAAAAAAATAAACTTAAACATAGACATATAGTATTAGCATAAAGGAAGTTATATCCGTTTGGAGCAAACTCAGGGCATTATCAAGACTCACGACGATGTATACATGCATTTAACAAACGAAAAACGAAGAATTTTTAAAATTTCGAAGCGTATTACATACGAAGAAGACGGCGATCTAAAGTTATGTAATAATCATGCTAACGATTATGAACTACTCAGGTATTACTATAAATATAAAATTGAAATTGAAATATTTTTAGCGGCGCAGAGTCGACGAAACATTTTCAAAGTTGTGCAATATTCGTAAAACTTTTCTAAATACGTAATAGTATTAAACGAAACGTCTAATAACAAACCAAAAACAAGAAAAACGAAAAAAACAAAATTAAAGACAAATAAAAACTCAAAATGATGGGCAGGTTCAGAGTCAGATTTAGGTGGAGGGTTCATAAGGGTGGCGTAGGCATGGTTTGAAGAATGGAGGATGGGCATGGTGAGTTTTTGAAGCACACGACATACTTACATACATACATACATAATACATACATGCAACATATATATATATATACTTATAGATATATTTAAGCAATTTTAGTTACCACCACAATCACACAAGCCCCACACACCCACAAACACACTCAGCCAACATTGCAAAAGAAAACAAATAGTGAAATAAATAGCTAAATGAAATGAGTTTATACATGTAAAGGAAAAGGAAAACATAAAACTGTGATTACATTTGATTGTCGAAGTTTTGATAAGAAAATGTTGCAAAGAATGTAAACAGCTTTTGTCTCTATTTTACTTATTATATATATATATATCTCTCTCTCTCTTATTTTTTACTTTCGCTGGTTTTCGTTTTCGAGAAAAATACTATAATTGAGAAAATGCATGCACAGACATGCCAAAACTAAATGTTTAACTAGACGAAATATTAAACTTCAAAAGAACTACTTAATATCGAAGTGTCGAAATGAAAGCGATTCCAATTAACTACTTATGTACTTAGAGAATAAAGTCAGTTAAGTCGAGTCCTTATTTCGTTTGATCCCCTTCATGCTACCTACGAGTAGGTATGAAATAATGTATGCAAATTTTATAAACCTCTTCTCACTGAGAACCTTCTGTACGAGTATTCGAGAATTTAGTGCACTTTAGTTAAAAATTAAAGTCTGAGATTTTACATTTACATATATCTATATATGTACATGGTCGAAGTATACACCTGACAATGGTAAACAAGTACTAACTAAGTTTATATTAATTTAACATTTAAATACTTTCCAAATGAGCCGGAAAACTTGTATTTCTATTTGGCTGCAAATCGAAAGAAAAACACACACGCACACACTTTCAGCAAAATTGCAAATTGAAAAATGAAATATGAAGCGACTTTCCAACAAGTGCGTATGTTTTGTTTTTCATCTTTCTGCGACACACGCCAGCAAAAATTAATAAAAATAAATTTAAAAAAAAACCATTATGAAAATTTATGACAAACAATGGCAAATTAATTACATATATTGTGTGTAAATTGTAAAACCTAAGATACATATTTATTAACGTTTCATTGACTCATTGACAACCGCATCCGCATTGTAACAAAAACTCACACACAGCATGGAAATGGATTAAACAGATACCGAGCGAAGAGAGTGAATGAAGTGAGGAAAAAAGAACAAAATTCAATAAACTTGTTGCTAAAATATAATAAAAATAACACCCAAGTCTTTTATTTCAACTCAACCCGTACACCTCAAACCCAATCTCAACAGATTCCTTGTCTTTTCTCATTTTAAATAATGTAACCCAATTGGACTTAACGCTTTTTGTTTTCATTTAATTAAGTTGGCAGAGCGGTGCTCTCCCAAGACACGAACCCATGCGACGCGCCCTGTGTGGGTTACAGTCTGAAGGCTGTGTTGTACGAAACTCGCCATTTGTTGCAAGTAAGTGTGTTTGTGTATTCCACAATCAAGCAAAAGTCGTTCTAATTGTAATTAACCCTTTGAAAGGTCAGCTATTTGGAATATTTTCGGCCTGTGGCAAAGATTCGAACAGCAGACATTGCACACAAATTAGTTATCTTTATTCTAGTAACTTTGGCATTACTTTTGCGCCACCTAGCGCACATTTTAAAAATTCGCTTGCAAACACTGGTTTTATATCAGTCAGCTTTGTTTCGAATGGTGAGGTACACACCTCACAGGGTGTTGCATGTGTTGAGTGCTAAACTCAACTTGAAAAATATCCCTTTTGCTGATAAGTGTAAGGCGCACAATGAAGACCCAATCACGAGGAGGAGGACAATTCCACAATAGTAGATTCTCAAAATTCAGACTGAATTAACACTACCTGCCTTTTCGAATCATCTTCCAGGATTAGCTTGAGCTCATTCAAAGGCATTCTTTTGTTTCTGCAAAAAATGGAGTTAAGGCAAAAAAAAGTACCACTACTCTTGTACTACACCAGTAACGCTGCTAAATACTAGGCCAACATAAACCAGAATCAAGCTTGGGAGAAACTTTAAAAATTATTATTTGTTTTTAGAAATATGTATCAGACAAACTTTTATTTTATTCAATTCATTTCAATATATTTATTCTTTGCAGCCAAAAAGTATGCTTTAATTTTTTCGAATTGAGAAATTGGCATTCGTTTATTTCCCTCAATGTTTTTTTATCACCATTTCGGTGAGAGATGCCTTGTGTAAAATATATAGTACAATGTCTTAAATATATATCCTATTAAATCTAAAATATTGTGGATATATGTACATAAAATATACAATTTATTAAACTAGTGTTCTGCTACCAATATGACAGCTTAAGCTAGTTGAAAATGATTGGGGAATACAGCAGTATAGTATGCAGCTATAGGACGTACTTATATCTATATACATACATATATCTACAATATTTTAGATTTAATGGGATATATATTTAAGATATTATACTATATATTTTACACAAGGCATCTCGTGGGGAGATCCTTTGGATGGCATTGCTTCAGTCTTCTCTTCCTGGCTCTGGAGAGCAGCCGTCGCGCTAGTGCGTTGAGGTGGCTGCCGAGGAGGCTAACTCAGAATTTCATTTACTATGCGCTCATAAAAGTATGCTTTAATTTATTGCAACTGCTTAATTAAATTTTAATTAATTAATTAATTAATTGTGGGTTCGCAATTTTCAACTTATGGGAATTGTGCAGAGGGTATGGGAATATTTCAATAATCATGCAGGCCTAATTAGCTAAATTGGCTTAGATTAGCTTCGTTCTAGCCAATTCCAACTATTCAGGCATCGAGCTATCTTTATAGCCCCAATGAGTTATAGTTCGCAAGCACATAATCGTATAAGTATGTGCATTCAGAAGTTGTGTAAATGTGGGCATTCGATTAGGCTACCTATTACTTACTTAAACAGTTTAATCTCGTCCGACAACGGTTAAACATGAAGCTCTGGGTCTGCGCCGTGCCACTAGTTGTACTTCTGTCCGCCTTGGCAAATGCTGCCTCCATTGGCCAGGACGAGAGAGTGCGTTATGACAACTATTCGGTCTACAAAGTGAAATATGCCAATGCGCTTCAAAGAAGTGTGTTGCTACAATTGGACGAGGAATCTAATGACGTGAGCTTCAGCACTTGAAACAAAACTAAACATCTCATACAGAAGGCCTCTCTTTTCCCCTAACAAGTTCAATCTGTGGCATGAGGCCAGCGACCAAGTGCATGTGATGGTGAGCCCAAAGGCTAAGCTCGAGTTTGAAGCAAGAATGAGTCAAATGAATGCCAGTGCGGAGGTCTTGATAGAAAATGTGCAGAGGTAACTCAAATCTACAAATACTTTCACTTGAAATACTATATATTTACATTACATTTATGTGCTCAGCCTAATTCAAGATGGCAGCGATGGGGCATTAAGAGATAGCAGCTTTGGTTGGACCAGCTACCACACATTAGAGAAAATTGAGGCTTGGTTGGATGAGATACTGGCCTCGTATCCAGAAATAGTCACAGGTTTTTTGGTTGGTCAGTCGTATGAGGGTCGCGATATACGCGGCATAAAGATTTCTTACAAGTCGGGCAATCCCGGAGTTTTTATAGAGTCCAACATACACGCCCGCGAATGGATAACATCGGCCACAGCCACCTGGTTCATTAATGAGCTGTTGACCTCCAGCGATGCTGCGGTGCGCGACTTGGCCGAGAATCATGACTGGTACATTGTGCCAGTGTTTAATGTGGACGGATTTGTATACTCCCACGTAAAGGTAGGGCTCGTCACCAATCCGTCCTTCGATCGGCAGTAAAGTGTGGAGATCTCTCTTCTAGGATCGGATGTGGCGCAAGTCACGCAGTCCTTCGGCTGGCTCCACCTGCATTGGCGTGGACTTGAACCGGAACTACGACTCGCATTGGATGGAAAACGGGGGTGCCTCGGATAACCCATGTGCAGAGACTTATGCCGGCCTGAGCGCTTTTTCTGAGCCCGAAACCAAGGCCCTGTCCGAATACATTAGTGGCATTAAGGACAAGGTGAACGTATTGTTCGCATTTCACTCATATAGCCAGGTGCTGCTCTCGCCATATGGGCATACGGACGAGGAATTCCCAGACAACTACGACGATCTTTTGCAAGTGGCCAAGGCCTATGCCGATGCTGTCAACTCCTTGCAGTATGGCACTACCTATAGATACGGCTCATCAGCGGAGGTCTTATGTGAGCTCTCTTTCCATATGTCCGAACATCTTCCATCTTCCAATGACATTTCTGTAATTCACAGACATCGCCTCAGGCTGCACCAATGACTGGGCTTATGTGAAGGCGGACATTGAAATTTCGTATACCATTGAGTTTCGGGACACTGGCCACCACGGCTTCCTTCTGCCCCCAACTCACATCATTCCGAATGCCGAGGAAACACTGGCCGGCATAACGGCATTGCTCGCTGAGTCCAGGGAGCTAGGCTATCTAGAGCTGAAGTACGACCTGTAGATCGTAGACCTGTACCAGGCCAGGTTTCAATAAACGCATTTTAATGGACAACTATTTTATTTGATTCACAATTTTCTTGGGATTTTAAAGATACTAATGGATTTTACCATTATAAAAGTTATAATGGTTATAAAGTTATAATACAAACAAAAATATAAAAAAACAAGAGAGAACGCTACAGTCGAGCAAGCCCGACAGTGTAATACCCTGTACCCAGGTAAACTTCCGTCACTGATATGTGCCCATAGCAGCAGCAAAAAGAGGAAGAAGAAGAGCAAACTTGTTGCTGCAGTTTGGGGGGGTTGTACTGGCGAGAATTTGTTTCGCTAATAACTTTTCTTAGAATTGACCGAATTGAATAAAATTTTGAACAACAGTAGACAAATATATATAAATTATGTGTGCAAAGTTTGGTTTAGGTAGCATTTGAAATGTGGACGCTATTGACGAAATTCTGCAGCGGGGGAAGGGGGGGAAAATTAAAAAAAAAAAATAAACTCGTCCTTACTCGGACCTAGGAGAATCTGGATGCCAACTTTGGTTATTCTAGCTTTTATAGTTTCTGAGATCCTCGCGTTCATCCAGACGGACAGACGGACGGACATAATTTATATATAATAAATATATAATTGTCTATATAATTGTCTACCTTGTCCAGTGGGTCACAAAATATGGTCAAACATTCTATACTCGTTTATGGCGTAGCTGTTAAGCTAATCTGAAGCAGAGATGGATCCACATGCGAAGTCAATTTCCACATCTACCGCACATCTCTCAAAATATAGTAAGGTGGAGAAGATGGCTCAGTCCCGATATTAGGTCGGCAAGCAAGTACAAAAACCAAATATGTTATCTGGACTTGGAATTTTCGTGTGTTGCCTGACAAGCTCATATCTACGGCTACTACTTATATGAGAACTGCGGCTGTACAATATAGTAATGTTAACTATTGCGTCCTTAGATTAGCGTGATAAACACCGCATTAAGATTGTACAAACTAATTAATTTATTATCTACAATTTCCTCGTTCAGGTTTGTTATTCGCAGATCAATACAAACGCCCAATAGTCGACTGACTTGTCAACTGATCGTACCTCAGACAACTCCTTCCAGCATAGGCTTTTTATCCACCAAACTAGTTTTGGAAACTTCTGCTCACAACTGTCAAGCAATGGGTAAGCTTAGAAGGAGTTTATGAACGTTATTTTCTATTCCAATTTCGACAAATCTTTAATCTTTAGTCAGAAACTACCTAAAAGGAACTATCCTACCAATTGTTACTAGCTATGTACGTGTATATAGAATAACATTTTGTTCCGACAAACTAGGTCTCAGTGTGGAGAAGACAAAGAAGTATTTGAAAACGCAAATTTGCACAGAGATGTGTTTGTTACGGAATTTCCAAGCATTTCCATTTTTATAGCCTGTGCCCAAAGGGCGAAAGGCTATACTAGTTTTGTGCGAATGTATGTAACATACAGAAGGAGGCGTGGCAGACCCCACAAAGTGTATATATTATTGATCAGGGTGACAAGTCGAGTCGATATAGCCATGTTCGTCTGTCCGTCCGTCCGTCCGTCTGTATGAACGCAAGGATCTCAGCAAGTACAAGAGCAAGAATAACCAAACTTGGTATCCAGATTCTCCTAAGTTCGAGAAAGAACGAGTTCGTGTTTTTTTTTTCTGATACATCCGCCCACTCCCCCGCAATTCATGTTTTTTATAACTCCTGTAATTCTTGGAATGTTGAACTTAAATTTGGCATATACATACAGTTAGTGATTATGTGTCCGTATGTTAAATTTAATCGTGATCGGTTAATTCTGAAGCATGTTATAGCCATAAATAAAATCGCTGCCCATGCGCTGTCTGCAGCTCTGCTCGCAGCGCTGCCCGCAGCTGTTGCTGCTTTGGTTCAACTTTGTGCTGCATACATACACGCATATTTATATGCACGCAGAGACACGATTCTGATGCAAATGTATGCTGTTGAAACTGTACATGAACATGTCTGCCCTTTTGTATATGTATTGAATATTTCGCATTTAATTTAATTAAATAATTTAATTAATATATATTTTTTAAATTAATTAATTTTTTTCATTTTTTCCTTTTTGGTGGGAGGTACAGGGTATTTAAGAGTTGAGCATGCTCGACTTTAGCATTCCTTTCTTGTTTTTTTTTTTTTCAGTTCTGCAAGCTGCTGGACATTTTTATACCCTGTACCCGTAGGGTAAAAAGGGTATATTAGGTTTGTGCAAAGTATGTAACATACAGAAGGAAGCATCTCCGACCCCATAAAGTATATATATTCTTGATCAGCATGACGAGAGAAATCGATCTAGACATGTCCGTCCGTCTGTCCGTCCGTCTGTCCGTCTGGATGAACGCGAGGATCTCAGAAACTATAAAAGCTAGAATAACCAAAGTTGGCATCCAGATTCTCCTAGGTCCGAGTAAGGACGAGTTTATTTATTTTATTTTTTGGAATTTTCCCCCCCTTCCCCCGCTACAGAATTTCGTCAATAGCGTCCACATTTCAAATGCTACATTAACCAAACTTTGCACACATAATTTATATATAATTGTCTACTGTTGTATAAATGTTTATTCAATTCGGTCAATTCTAAGAAAAGTTATTAGCGAAACAAATTCTCGCCAGTACAACCCCCCCAAACTGCAGCAACAAGTTCGCTCTTCTTCTTCCTCTTTTTGCTGCTGCTATGGGCGCATATAACTCAGTGACGGAAGATTACCTGGGTACAGGGTATTACACTGTCGGGCTTGCTCGACTGTAGCGTTCTCTCTTGTTCTTACTAAATATATTTGACTAAACTAAATAAAAGACTAGATAGAACACAGATATCATTTATTATGCAAAACGGATTGACAATGTATAATTATGTATAATTTTTGGAATAATTTGTGGTTAACAAAACAAAGGCAGTGTAATTTATTTCAGTTTTTGAAAAATGACTTTTCCAAGTATGAAGTCGATAGAAGAGCAATAGTGCTGCTTCACATTTCATTTCTCCAGATTAAATATTAATATGAACTTGCGAATTTGGTAGTAAAGGAAGCGCTCAGTCACGACTCAAGGCCATTTGCACCAGGGGCAGCACCTTGATGGAGGACAGGTCGGCCAGTATGGCCTCAATGCTGTCCAGAGAGTTAACCTGCATGATGCTCTCCTTGCGGAAGCTCAATATTATGATGGAAAACAAGGACAAAATCTCCAAGCTGTCGAATCCCAAAATCTGCAAACCATAAATTAGAGCACTAAACACCTATAGAGTGCGGTGGATGAGTGTTACCCACCAGATCCCACAGAACCAGCAGCTGCTTTGGCGGCAAGTGTCCGGAGAAGGCGCGCATCAGCCACTTGAAGACAAGGCGCAAGCTGTAGATCGGAAGTTGGTGAAATCTGAACCATCGGGCAATGGCTGCACACTTACGGCTGTATCTGCAGCTCCCGGAAGTGCGACCACAGCTCCGGCTCGTAAGTCTGCAGAAGTTTCTCGAACAACAGGCACAGACTGATGATGCCCTGCGGATGCGTATTGATGGTGGTTAGGCGGTGGCAGTAGCGTATGTAGAAGGCTCGGAAGGTAAAGTACAGGTTCATGGGCGAGTCGTAGAGATAGCAGAAGGGTGCGGCGAACATGCAGATGCCGTGGAAGGGCACCACACCCGACGGTGGGCCCTCGTAGATCCTGCCCTTGACCGGAAAGCTCTCGTACTCCACGCAATTGGCGACCTCCGTGTCCCGCGAGAAGCACAACATCACCTGGTAAAGCACATCCTCGAACACAAAGTACTGGTCATCGTTCGAGGCCGTCAGCTGTATGTCCTTAAAGACAAGCTTATCCACAATATGGTCGGTGGTCCAGACAGCGTTGCGCAGCTTCTGCCAGTACTCGATGTCCTGTGAAGATCAAACGAGTTAAAGGGCTTTCTCTCGCATCGCCGCCGTTAAACAGAGTCCTTACATAGTCGTGCAACTTGGTGTCCAGCACGGAGGCCCAGAGGGCGCCGCGATAGGGAGCCGGCGTGCAACCCTTCTTCAGAAACTGCTGGCACAGAGGCGCGTGCTTGGCCTCCAGTATGCGCTGACACTGCACCTTGGGATCCGAGACACCCATATAGTTATCGCTGCGCAGCAGATCGGCGAAGTGGGTTCGCAACTCGAAGAGGTTCTTGACGGGCAGCGCTATGTGCGAGAACTCCCATTTCGGTATTTGACTGCGAGGGTCGGGAAAGTGGAGCATGAGGGTCTATTTTGAGCAAGGCATTATGAATTATAGAGGTACACAAACTCGGTATTTTCCCCAGATTTGGCGGGTCCTTTGAGTGACAGGAAGACATCCAACAGGTCCTTGGGCGCATACACAGGGCGATAGTTGGCCAAATCTAGAAGCATAGAACACCGCCATTACACAAACAATTGGGAAAGCTAAAGTCGGGTGCTCCGACTTTGTAATACTCTGTACCTGTGGGTAGAATAATAAGACTTAAACAAAATTTTGAAAATTTAAATAAATTTACGAAATTGTTATAATAGAACAAGCTAAAAAGCTAAAGTTAAAGTCGAATTTGACATACTCTGTACCTATGTGTAAAATCTATACAAGTATTTAAAACAAAGTCGTGTTTGTTCGAGAACTGGACCAATTTTCATGGTTTTTCATTTGGTGTATTTGTCTTCGTCCGGAATAGTAGTATAGCTATTAAAAACATTGAATTTGAGCTCAAATGAAAAACAAATGAAAAAATTATATAATTTAGAAAAAACGTCAATCCATTGGTCTCACTTAATCGTTCCAGATTATTCTGCCAATCCAGTCAGAGTCACTATATTATACAAATATTTACGTCGCGAAAGTGGAATTTATTTAATTATAAGAGGAAGATCTAATCTTTCCCAAAGGAGCCGTAATGCAATTAAGCAACGGCACATGGCGAACCACTTAACTAATGAAAAACGACAAAGTTCACGAGAATAGCGCCGCGTTATTGTGGCACGAAGTAGGGCTCTACGTCGTTCTTCTCAAACACAAGAGAGCTCCGTGAAACGGCTAAAAATTACGATAATTGAAAAAAGTAGTAACAACATGGGTGGATTCAAGAAACTTAATTATGATGCATAAAATTATATATACCAGGGAACCGGGCTACTTGTATGAAGAACTACGTTTTGGTGCCTCCTCAAGAACTATTAATATAAACAATATACGACCATTCTTTATTCATGCTATTCGCCTGTGGAATCAACTACCTCAATATTTAAAGAAAATTAGTAGTGCATCGCAATTTAGGGAAAAATGAGTTTGCTCTTAAAAATAAGTAACTAACAACAAAAAAGTGTTTGCAACATAAAAGAGTCTTTTAGATTTAACTCCAATTTCATAAAATATTATAAGTAGGTTATCAAACTGTCTTAAATTTTTTTAATGTGACTTGTGCATTAATTTATAAGACATTTTTTTCTTGTCGCACTAGGAAATAATATTAAATAATAATAATAATATTGTAATATGAAAAACAAAATTGTTGATCGAGTTTACATTTTTCGGGATTCGAACTCATGTAAAGGGTGTATGGCTGCACATTGCCGGAATTTTAATATTATTATTATTATATCTAAGTAGTCTGTGCAGTACAGAGTTGAGCCAAAGCAGCAACAACAACAATAGCTGCTGGCAGAGCTTTTGCGGAGATCATATTCATGGCCATAACATCCTTTTAAATTGACCTATCAGCTTGAAGCTTTGAATAGGACACACAAGCACTAACTGGAGGCATTTGCTAAATTTATTTAAGAATTCAATTAAAATTTTTTTAAATCCAACAATTACGGGAGTTATGGAAAATCACTAAAACCGGGGGGTTGAGAGCAGGGAAAACAATTGTGAATTATACATATAAGCCACGCATACATAGAATAATTAATTTTGTGTCTGTAGCTCTTATAGTCTCTGAGATACAGGTGTTCATACGGACAGACGGACAGAGGAAGAGAGCTAGCTCGACTCGTCTTGTCATGCTGATGAAGAATACTTTGAATATACTTTGTGGGGTCTGCCACGCCTCCTGCTGCCTATTACATTTTTCACTGCGCGCAAAACTAATATACTCTTGTTTTCGTGGGTATTCAGGAGTCGAACAGGTGCGACAAAGCGATGGACTCGGTCCACAGTGGCTAGGAAGAATAGTCAGTGAGCGACGCTTTAGTCGAGTTGGGAGTCAAGCACAGTGGTACAAAGAAACAAATCAGTTGTGGTTGTACAAGTGGCAGTGGGACTCAGTAAGTAGTAGAGCTCTTCGAAACATAATCTGTTAACACGTTTCCAGACAACTACCGTAGTCTGAGTCTCAACAGCCCCGTTTGGAACTCACCCATGTTGTAGCTGCTCAGCTCGTTCCACTTGGCCACAAAGTCCTCCCGGTCGGCGCTGATGCGCGGCTGGCCGTGCAGCGGCACCTTCAGCTCCGCGCACATGGCATTCAAGCTCTTCCGCACTCGCCGATCCCACATGACGCCGGCGCGTTTCAAGTAGCCAACTGGGTCGCTCTGTGTGGATTTCTGGACGAGATTGCAATGACAAGGGGGAGAGGATTTGGGATTGGCAACAACTCACCTGTTTGGTGGTAGCGGCGGAAGCCTTGTCCTGCGGCTTTCCTAGTCGAGTGCGCACCAAGTTGAAGATAATGTTACGAATTTCCGTCTCCAGGCCAGCTGTCTTGATGGCCGTCTCCAGAGTGGCTCGCATTTCGTTCTTGTCCACATTGGGCGTGCACACCAGACGCTGTAGCAGAATTTGGAGTAAGGGCACAGGTTTTACCAATCTGAGGCACCCACCTGCAATTCCTTGTAGATGGGCTCATAGCGCTTGATATTCTTGATGGCCGCGATAACTTTGGCCGTCGAGTGATGTATGCTCGCGTCCTGCAGCTCCTCCATGCGACTGCCTTTGGTTCTCTCCGTATTTTTTTTTTTGTGTATTTTCTCTGAACTTACCTTTTCGAAAGGGGCCGAAAACTCTGTGCTATGCGCGCTTTATGACGCTACGCTACAATTTCTGTTACAATTCTGATAAGCATATAGTATGTAAAGGCCTAAGCGCTTCAAATGCTCCCACATGCTTCACAATTATCGATCAAACTTTGTCGCCTGCTTTGATTTCTATCGCTGCGTTTGAAGTCAAAGTTCTGATTGTGTTTTTTCGACAGACGTGGACGCTTCATAGTTACGGAATGCAACCACTTGTTTGGGCCAACCCCGGTCTTGCCACCTCGCAACCGACGCGTCGCCAGCGCAGAGAGCATTGCCGGCAACGACACGGTTGCACAGTGGGGCGATTATTGTTTGATTATTAAACTACTTGTACGATAATAACCACACGCTGGGGGAATTTAATTTGTCCCGATTCACAGCCCACTGTAGTCAGAGATGCTTAACTGAAGAAAAAAAAAACATATTCTGTTGTCAGAACAACGCATACAAAAAGAATAGCCCGTAAGAAAGAAAAAATAAACCAAGCATTAGATGTCTGAGTTGGACCTTTTACCAGGTATTCCTTCGCGATTTACCAGGGCTATTCTATCTACCTTTCAGTCTGCTTAAAGTGGATAGTATGGGATCTTTCTTTCTTTTGTTTTATTTTGTTTACCAGCAACAAAGTGATTATTACAAGTGAGAAGAAAGGAATAACCTTTTCTTAATTCTTATTTTTAGAAATATTTGAAAAATTGAAATCAACTACAATTAATTTAACAACAAATATGTTAAGCCAAAACAACAACAACATCAGGCAGAACAAGGGTATAAGAAGAAATTAATCGGCGGATACGGCAGCGAAAGCCGCCGCAACAGCCCCACTAATTCTCCACAACACCTCCAACAAAATATGTATAAAAAGTATCTGGAATGAAAGCCAACAGATATACCAATAACAAAAACAGAAAACACGCAACTATATACACAAGATTCCGACTTGGACACACAAAACTTACACAAGAAAACCTGCTCACCAAATCACCATCGCCGCTGTGTCCTTACTATAAAACATTTCACCAACTACTGCCAATTTATCCTCAATCAATGCACTTCCTTGAAAATTCCCACGCCAAATCAACTACGCGCAGAGACAAATAATGTAAATATTAATAACTTCATAAAGCTCATTTCTAAACTACATATAGTATTAAGATATAATTAATAGATTAAGACAAAAACCAGCTTGAAGGCCTTCGTGCTCTGGCTCTACCTACATATGCTTTTATATGTATCCAATTTGGTGATTCAAGATTAACTCTAAGTTACAAATGTTAAAATATATAAATAATAAATAAATAGAACAAGGGCATTCAAATAATTAGGTAGTTGTGGAATCCATCCGAAGGCTTCCAAGTTCTCTGTAAATCCATCCTTGTTTTCTCTAAGTTCTTAAATCAATGCATCAAGATTGATGTGCAGAATTTTCAATTCTGTCTAGGATTCGATTTCCACACGATCGTTCCTTAACTATTCTACCTTCAGAGTAAAGGAGTGTCGAAAGCATTGTATTCCTCTCAGCAATCGGAAAGTCATCGAGATCGGGCAACGGCTTTTTTGAAAGTTAAAATGAGTCCACTTTCCAAATGTGCCATTAAGCTATGCTTTGGATTTTATCTGCATATATGCGAATATCTACCTACATACTCGTAGATTGTTCTAATGGAACACTGTACTTGCACGAGGTACTGCCAATGGGCAGCAATTGAAAATTTTATTGTGCTGGTTTCTTGATTTTTTAATACCTTTATTATTATTATTTTTTTTTTAATGAAATGCAGAGTTAAATGAGCGTGAAATTGTTTTGTATATTTTCAATGCGAAAATGTTTCGAGCACACAGACAGACGCAGGCAGCTATTGCGCAACACAAATCGAATAATACCGGCAAGTTTTTGGCATGTGTCACAAATATTGCGCATACGACATGATGGCTGACGTTGCTGCTTGCTGCCTTAGTTGTTGCCTGTTGGCTGTTGGCTGTCAATAAAAGTGAAAAGTACAAGTATGAGTGAAATATGAGCAAAAAAAAAAAAGAAAAAACCAATTGAAGACCGTTAGTGCTGCTAGTGCTTTAACCAAATTCTAGAGCGTTCGCAGCAATGTTTTTAGTTGGGGTCTCAGGTTATGCAACTTGACGAGCAGCTCATCGTTCAGGAAAGATTTGTTACGCAGGTTACGGTTCAAATTACTAAAGTCGTAGCCCACTGCAAAGGGTGAAGATGTTCTCGTACCCAGAAAATAGTTACCATGTGCCCTGTTGTCAAATAGAGGAAATATAATTGTTATTATTAAAACAATATTTTGAAAAATTAATACTACGTATATAATATGATTTAAGGGTACCTTACTAATTCTGATAAACAAGACCTTCAAGTATAAGAAAAAACAGGACTTTAAATAAACAACGAGAATCGTTCTTTCTGCGAAGAATTATTATTACTTTTAAGTTCAAGTCATAACTTTACTCGTTTACTTTTATTCCACGTCTAAATCAAATTCCTCTGTTTCATCATAAATTATGATTTTAAGAAAAAAAAGATGCAAGTATTATTTTGGGAAAATTAACTTTCGAATAGGGACATTTTTGGGTCAATTTGTTTAAAGAAGTGCAGTTAAGCTATTAATATTAAGGACCTAATTATATGACGCTCTCAAAATATTGAAAACACTATCTATAATATTAGGAATTAACTTTGCGGCTGCAAGTCAAATACTCTTGAAATAAATTAATTCGTATTCATGCTCCTCTTTAAGGTGAGTTATAAGATTCCATTCTACTTAGTAGAATTATAGAGAAAAGGCGCACTTTATCAAGAATATAACCCCCATTGGAAATTTGAACTCACTTGCTGCGCGCATAGTAGCCCATTAGCTCGATATCGTTGCTGGGCTTGCAGGACCCGCTGATGAAGTCTTGAATGTCCTGACACCCAATGGCCCAAAAGCCTCTCCCAGACGTTATGGACTCGGCATAGTAGACAGCAGAGCGCGTGTGCTGACAAACGTTCGTCTCAACTGCAAAGAAGGATTAAAACTCCTCTGTAGCCGAACAGGCCCGCTCACTCACTGTCATTAGTTGGGCCACAACTTGGTTGCGTCACCCCCATATTGGGGTAGAAATCCACATGGCCCACACTCTGCAATATACCATTCATAAGCCCGTCCGTGTGTATGACATCAACAAAGTCAGCATCGTGGGCATCCAAGTGCTCCGAAGGCTTGGTGCCTAAGAAGAGGCCCTTGGCCGGATCAAGGCCAGTGATGTGCGCCAGGCGTAGGTTTCGAGGCAGATAATTAGATACCATTCCAGCGATGTGGGCGCCCATGCCGAACCCAATCAAGTGCAGATCCTCATCACGCACCAGACGCATCTGCAGCAAACTGGCCAACAGCTGGGCCAAGCAGCGGCTAACGAAGGGGGCGTTATGGGCCGCCTGTGTGAAGCAAGGAGTGGGCGCCAGAGGGGCATAGTCCACAGAAATCACATTCACCCAATGCGTTTGGAGCAGTGTCCGACGGATTTGTGAATTGGGCGTGAAGTCGCGATGGCCCTCGAAGCCGTGTATCAACACCTTGGTGGGCCGTGGCGGATAGAAATCGCTCAACGATAACTTATTCACATAAAGCCGCCGCCCCTGGGACCCTGCATCGCTGTAAAATGTGGAAGACAAGACATCAAGTAAATAGGTTAGATGTGCCACCGCATCTGCTGCTCACGTGTAGAGCCAGAAGGTAATGTTCTTATTGGGGCATCTATCGTCCTCAAGCTCAAAACAGTCGGGCAGCTCGTACATCTGTGCAGCGCCAATACGCCACAGTCCGCAACAAACTACAGCGAAGAAACAATCAGAGCAGATGTGAGATCTTGTCTCCAATGGTATAGATATATACTTAAAAACATTTACCCAGCAATAGGCTTAGAAAAGGCCACATGAGTCTTCTAGCAATACCACAGATTCACTGATTATCGGTCTCTTATGTGGTTAATAGCCCTGATTCAAGGCGTGTCAAGCGATTCTAATACCCTTGACCTTACTCATTATAGAACAACTCTGTAATAAGTATACCAGAGAGGAGACGAACTTATTGTTGTAGAAGGGGGGTTTTAGAGGGTACCTATGTTCTGGACCAATATTATTTAGTACTAATTGTTCGTAAGTACTTATAGTACTGTTGTTTTCTTATATTCAATTATGTATTGACCTTTTCTTTTCTTAGACCTGTAATTTGAAGTACTTTTACTTCGTGGTTTACCAAATTTTTACATTTACTAGTTTTAAGCAACTTTTAAGAACGATTATAATATTCTTTGAGAAAATAGTTTATTTTTGTACTCGTATCCATAGTTCTCTTAAAACTATAAAAACATTTCCAAAATATTCTCTATTCGCTAATAATTTTAACCAGTTTTCTACCATCATTCCATCAGAGGCTGGACAATATTTTTTTATCCATCACTACGATACAAATACAAGTATTGTACTATTTGTATCTATTAAATAATAATAATTAATCTATATAAATATATAGAGCTTGAAATTAAAACAATAACTCCTAAGAATCCTGAGTTAAACAAATAAATATATAGAGCTTAAAATTAAAACAATAACAATTATAATAAAAAATGCAAGTTATTGATAGTTTAGTACTTTTTATTTCACACATTTTTATCTCAATTTTGTCTTTACAGGTAGATACTTATTATAGAGTTAAGTCCCATCAGCCACAACAACAGCTGCTGGCAGCACAAGTCTCTAGCTTTCTAAAGAAGAGAGCAATCATGATGGACAAAGAAATGAACGTGAGGACATATAATACTTATTAGATATGGTCGGACATGAGTATTTAGACTCACTCGAACATTTTCATGGGGTCTGTAATGAAGCAGGCCTCTAGGTACTCATTGGCTGATATGTTTCTTACCTGTTGGCGCCCAAATGTGGGGCGTCAAATTACAATTTGTAATTAACTACGCCCCTGCATTATGCAATTTTCAATTTGTTTTGGTAATTACGCCGTAAATCTTGCCTTAAATTTCATGCCACCAAACTGTCAGCAACTAAATTAGAATTTATGCTACGTCTGTGGTCCATTGCTAGCTATTTATACCTGCTCGGAAAAAGTATTGAAACTAAAAATGCAAAAACAATCGCCCAAAAGTATGTGCCATGTCAACATGTCTCCTCTCTCTCTCTCTCTCTATGGACCAGCACTTGCCCGCCTTCCAAAGTGTTCACGTTTTGTCGTAAATAATAAAAATCAAATAGCCATCAAGCTGCCTTTGGCTTTGCCAAAAGCGGTTGTCAAAGCACACCGCCGCCGGAAGGTTACACACAGACATGGCCTGGCCTGGCCTCTCCATACGTCCATCCATCTGTCCATCCGTCCATCCATCCATCCATCAGTCTAGGTCCGTACCGATGTCCATTCGCCTGTTTGTTGTTTGTTTTCTTTCGGCCAAAAAGATAAAACCACATCAAAATTTTTTCGAGCACAAAACAATTTAGCGCGCCGAGAGGTAAACCACAAACCAACCTACCAATACAACCACCCGCACGAGCTTTCGAGGCCTGCTCAAAGAGTTCTTTAGAAGAAATGGGAAGGGTGCTTGTGGCAAGCAAGCATTGTAACTCTTTCGTTACCTTTCTCGAAAAACTAAGCTTGCGCTCTACAGGACGCTCATCCTCCCTGTGCTGCTTTATGGCGCAGAAGCATGGGTGATATCGCAGACTGATGCAGCAGCTCTTGGAGTGTTCGAGAGAAAGATGCTTCGGAAGATCTTCGGTCCCCTACGCGTTGGCCACGACTACCACATACTATGGAGCATCGAAGTGTACGAGCTCTACGCCGACACATCTACGCCTGGTAGAGAAAGCACTACCTGCGGAGTGACAAACTGGAAGCGACACCCGCGAAGCTCGTGGAGAGCTGTGTTACGTCAGGTCATAACCCGATAACGGGTTAGTCAAGAAGGAGAAGAAGTAATTGGAAAGAGTTTTGAGCAATAATCAGCTGCGAGTATTAATATTATTAATCGAATAATAATTGCATTCATCGGAGAGGAGTTTCTTACATTTGATCCAACCCGACACTGAAATAGAAGAATTGAAGAAAAATAAAGAGGAGGAACGGAACGGAGGATGAGAGAGTTTGTGGGCGTAGTACTGGAGTACTATTGTTTCACTAATAACTTTTCTTAGAATTGACCCACTGATATGAAATTTAAAACAATAGTAGAGAATTAGAAATTAATGAGGATTGGGGACAGTATTGACGTAATTCATTATCGTGGCAAAACAATGAAATAAACTCGTATTGTCTAGTGACTAGGAGAGTCTTTATACCAAGTTAGGCTCAGCTGTGTTCGAAATCCTGGCATCCACCCAGACAGACAGACTGATGTACCCTTGTCATCCTTCGGGGATAGGGAATACTATACACTGCAACTTTGGCCCTTTTTGAACACACCTCGCTTCATTTGGACATCACTTACACAGAAAGCGTTGGGGGCGGCGTCGATGGCAGCGCCGATGGCCCACTCATGATCATATGGAAAAAATTGCTATAAAGTACTAAAAATACAATTACCGTGAGAAATTTGCACTGATTTTGTGACTGATTGTGAAGACGGTTTATAGTTGATTTTTAGTGACTAAGTGACGGAGTGACCGACTGCCTGGCCTGGCCTGGCCTGTTCGCCTGCCCAGCTAGCTGCAGCCATCTGTGCAGACACCACCCTGCATATCGGTAAGAACAGCCACACAAAAAATGATTATTAAATGAAATATTGACGCGCTATCTCCCAATGTGTTCATTAATTATTATACCCCCCATCCAAAGGGTAAAAGGGTATTATTAAATATATTTTCTTGATCAGCATGACAAGACAAGCCATACTGTCCACCACCCTGCATGTCGGTAAGAACAGCCACACAAAAAATGATTATTACATGAAATATTGACGCGCTATCTCCCAATGTGCTCATTAAATATTATGACCCCGATCCAAAGGGTAAAAGGGTATTATTAAATATATTTTCTTGATCAGCATGACAAGACAAGCCATACTGTCCATTCCTTTTACCCTTCCATCGGTATGAACGCCAGGATCTTCGAAAGTGAGGGATGGGGTCACCAAAACTTAAATGCAGTTTTTCCAAATATGGGCGAGTATTGAATTGAATTGATTTTTCACTTCTGTAATGTTTCGAATCTCGAATCTTCCAATTCCATGTTATAGATAACTAACTTGGAAATTGGAAACTTTTAAACTTGTTGCTGTTGTTGTTGCTTACCCGCTGAGTATATAGACCTTACTTGTATTATATATTCGTAATCAGTATGACGAGACGAGTCTGGAAGACCTTAGGAAGTATTACTCTTGTAAATATTGGAATAAGTCGTGATAGGACAAAAAAAAGACAAATTGAATAAGGAATATAAGAAGAATATAATAAATCACGGATCGAAGATAAAGCTCAATCGATAAGATTCTCGGGCTTAGACGGACCCGTGTGCAGTTCGAAGCCACACCTAATTTCCAATCCTGAATACCGTAGCTCCTTGTTGGTACAATAATAATATAATAATACTCCTGTGAAGGGCTCTCTTGCATCTCAGAGGCACCAATAGAGGTGATGTGAAGCTTTAATTTGAATATCTTTTGATTTATTACTTACATTTGTAAAAATTTAATTATAATTGCTTACATTATTCTGTCGTCGTAAATGATTAAAATAAATGAACCTTCCAGCTGAATATTTGGGGCTTAAAGATCTATTAATGAACTAAAAGGGGAATTGTCTGGAGGGAATCCACTAATGGAGCGTAAATAGTGCTTGAACTGGCAACTCCAATGGGCTTAAAGCCGACCCTATCGCAGTGGATCGCGGTGTCTGGTTGGGTGTGGGTGCCTTTTTGCATAATCGACTTGCGACTGCTGATTTATGAATGCGCACTGCTGCGCTCATTTTCCGGTCTAGTCAGGCAATAGGTTGATGACGTTGCCGATGCTGGCGGTGGTGCTGGCGGTGGTGCTGTCGGTGGTGGCGATAGCTGCGCGACCTTAGAAGCGAACGCTGCCGGCGCTGCTCGCCCCCCCCCGCTCCGCATCGGGTGTCACTATGCGGCGTTTGATCTGCGCGTCTGGCCGTTGATGAAGAACAGTAGCCGCCACATTCCAACGCGCACTCACACTGGGACGGGATGGCGGCGGGAACTTGTTGTTAATAAAGCGTTTCGCAAACCAACAATAACTTGAAGGATGCACAGTTGAGTGGTGACTGGGCGGGTGGGAGAGTGCGAGTGGTGCGCGGGTGGCAGGGTGGCATGCGTATGAGTGACGTTGCCAGTGCGCGGCGTTTTGTTAGTTCTTATTATAAATAATGATTTTGGCCAGACGAAAAGTTTAGTTCGCGCTCGTTGCCCAACGCAAGAGGAACGACAGAGACTCGCGCTTCGTTAACTGGACCATAGGCGGCTCGAGGAGCACAGAACCACAGCAGAATGGTAGCCAAGCAACCACTCAATATTCGCAATATTCCCACAAAATAGCATTGACTGTTGGGCCTAACACGTTTACTCCACATGTACTATGTAACTGCAGGAGGACGATGAGAAAATGGACATTATGCGCAAGGCATTCCAGATGTTCGATACCCAAAAGTCGGGCTTCATCGAGACGCTGCGTCTGAAGACCATTCTCAACAGCATGGGCCAGATGTTCGAGGAGAGCGAACTGCAGGACCTGATCGATGAGAACGATCCCGAGGATACGGGCAAGGTGAACTTTGACGGCTTCTGCAACATTGCCGCCCACTTCCTCGAGGAGGAGGACGCCGAGGCCATACAAAAGGAGCTGAAGGAGGCGTTCCGCTTGTACGATCGCGAAGGCAACGGTTACATAACCACCTCCACACTCAAGGAGATCTTGGCCGCGCTCGACGACAAGCTGTCGTCCAGCGATCTGGACGGCATCATTGCCGAGATCGACACGGACGGTTCGGGCACGGTGGACTTCGATGGTGGGTTAATATAAATATATGGCACTATATAGATTGCCAAACTATCTAATCTGTCTGATCTGGTTTGCAGAGTTCATGGAGATGATGACGGGCGACTAGGTGGAAGTGTATTGCGTAGCCTTTAGTTGCTTTAGAAAAAATGCTTCTATCGGAGACAGACTCGATTGCTTTTAATAATATTCTCATTTATTATTTTTAAATAAATTAACTAAACGCTTTAAATCAAAATTTAGTTCTCTTTCTCCTTAATATTGTGTTTGTTTTTTTTTTTTTGCATTTGCATTTCTCTTAAGTTTAGTTTAAATGTCTAGCTTTTTTCAACTTAGCATAGGTGTTCGCTTATAGAACGTGTTCGACATATAGTATATAGTATTTACAAGATCGCTTAAAACGACAATATATATTATGGTATAAGTATGTTAAAGTTAGCGCCTATAGTTGTTTGCTCTATAAACAAATTCTCCTTTGCTATTTACACAAAACAAAACAAAAATAAGAAACAAGTGCAGTTCAATTCCTAAACGTAATTCAAAAATTGTAAATCGAAATCGGGCCTCACATTTGAAACCCCTTTCTATACGTCAATAATGAAAGCGCGCACGGGTATTTGAATTTTTTACATTTCTTTGTTGGCATTGGGGCGGCTTCTGTCTTTACATTTGTGTCTTATAGAGCTAGGTTTAGATTTTACAAAAGGCAGCATTGCAACGCGCTAAGTGTGGGCGTTCTTCACTCGTAATCTATATCTTAGTCACTAGCTAAGCTAACTAGAATTACAGCTGGGGCTATAATGAGGCACGCGCGAGCTCAACTTTCCCGATTATATTTCTATAACTCGTATCAAGTATCAAGTTCAACCAACGTCTAGTGCGACACTCATCATAGGCATCAGCGACTGACCAACTCTGCTTATCTCAATGTTAGTTCAGAGCAAATATATATCTGTATATATGTATTTGTATATAAGTATGTGAATATAGTGTAACTTTAGAAGCATACAAAGCTGGCACAATAGTTTTAAAATGTTTTCTCTGCATTTAGTTTGCTTTTTTTTATACTACAAGTATATATATACAATGCACTCATGTGGTTGGTTATTGGATGATTTTCGCAACAAAATATTCTCAAAAGATATTTCTGAAATAGTTAAAGCATTTCTTAACCAAAGATTTTTTAAACACTTGCTTAAAGTAGTTAGTAGCTGCTGGTTCTCTAAATACGGATCATACCTTAATGGTAGTTATAGCCTATAACTTACAATCAGTGCGGCGCTTAACTTACTCTACATTACTACGAAGGAGAAGGCACCTACTTGTATAAGCAGCTCCTTACCAAAATCAAAATCAAAACCAACTCAAAATCAAATTCAAAAACAAAACGAACATTAGACCTCTCATTCACAAATGGGCTTTAGCCGTAGTTATAGACTTTAGACTATAGAGGAATCAAGTTAATTGGCGGATGTGAAACAAAATAATAATAATAATAGGCTCAGGAGTGAAGACAGGACTCGTAAATGCAACTTAGGTCAAACCTAGAACGAAAATGAAACGATTCTTACTTAAACTACAAGTAGTACGAACAGGGTTGGGCTTAGGCTAGGGCTTAGACGATCTTCATGGGCACGTCGATGAGGCAGTCCGACTCGAGCCGCCCGAGTGTCTTCTTAACGCGCAGTGCCGTCAGCCGCACCGTGGGATTCGGATGCCAGCACTCCTGCATGATCTTGGCGATGGTGGCAAGCACATCGTCCTCTTGCCAGCGCGCTGGGATCGGTGGTCGGAAGCCCTTGACACACACCACCGCGTGCATGTCCTCGAAGGTGGGATCCGAGGGCACCACATCGTGGTAGGGCAGCGCATAGTCCTCGCAGGTGGTTGTCTTGGTGCCCGCGATCGGCGTGTAGCAACGGCGCGCCATCTCCCAGAACACCAGGCCCACCGAGTACATATCGGCGCGCTTGAACTCCTCAAACTGCTGCGGATTCAGGGCCTGGCTAAGCACCTCTGGCGCCATGTAGCGGCGTGTGCCAACGCGCGTATTCTGCGCAATGTGAATCTCGTCCAGCTCCGAAATGTACTTGACGGCCAGTCCGAAATCGGCAATGGCGCACTGTCCGTTCCGCTTGACCAGTATGTTCTTGCTCTTGATGTCTCGATGTGCGATGGCCGGTTTTCCTGGGGTGCCGAAGATCTCGTCGTGCAAGTGGGCCAGGCCTGAGGCCAGGGAGTAGGCGAGCAGCTGCAGCTTTTGTGGCGTAATGACAGAGGTCGAGAGATGGTCGTGCAGACTGCCTATCTCGTGGTAGTCGGTGATGAGCAGCATCTGTGTCCAGCTGCCATTTCCCTTGATGTCCGCGGCAATGAATCCCAAAATGTTCTCGTGCCGCATCAGCACTGTCTGATAGATTTCGGTCTCGCGGAACCAGGAGGCCTCCTCGGTGGTGAAGAAGGTCTTAACAGCCACCTTCTCGTCGCGCCATTGTGCCAGCCACACCTCGCCGTACCGTCCCTTGCCCACCAGTCTCACCATCTGAATTTGCTTGGCGATTGTCCGTTGCACGAGCAGAGGCAGTCCCGATCCCGAGCCCGAGCTTTGCTCCACCAGCTGCGAGAGTGGCGAGAGCTGCGAGTTGCACATCGAGTTGATGAGACGCGGCTGCTTGCGCAGCTTCTCGCGCCGTCGACACGTCACGCATATAAGGGACAGGACCACAATAAACACTGACAGCGAGATGATGAGGGCAGCGAACAGCACCAGGGTGTGCACGGACTCGCTGACTGGCAGCTCGGGCGCGGGCGTTGTGATCTTGGGCATGTAGGCGGGATGCAAATCACGATTGCAGAAGTCGCCACCATCGCAGCAAACGATGTTCTTGCCATGAATGTGGGGCATAGCGGCCACTTTGCACTGCAAGGAGAGAAGGAAATGTTAGCCACGACTCTCTCAGTCAAGTAGGAAGTAGGCTGCAGTCCCAAACCCACGACTCTGTTTTCTGTATTCCTAAGAATCTTATCTATTTCCCTACGAATAGGGATCTTCTGGGCTGAAGCTGACAAAAGCTCTAATATTATTATCAGAGAGAACAATTCATTTGTAGCTAAACAGTTCTCTTGATATGATTGTCTGATTAGAAAAGAAAAAGTGCAAGCAAGCTCCTAATAGAAATAGGGGTTCTTTAACCCTCTCCATAATCTCTTTTACTAATCTTCTCTACCTCTATATATAATAACCTATGTTGGCATGGACTTGGGTTTCAATCTAATTATATATACACAGCTAACATTTTAAACCGTCCATTTGCACAGAAATTTCAAAGATTAAATATACAGGATGCATTCAATGATCTATTTGGTACTATACTCTATGAAGCAAACTTTCCTCCTTTAAAAGTGGGCGATTTAATATTTTGACCTGTGTATGTATCTATATTGCAGGAATCATAAACATGGCTATATTCCATAAAATTTCATTATACTTGTATATTTCAAAGACGATCAAGACTTACTTAAAAATATATTTAATATTCGTTTCTATTTTATTTAATCAACTCTAATTAATTATCGCTGAACTGCGCTTATTTAGTTTCTGCTATGAGTTTGGGGCAGCTTTAAAGTTCGCAGTGCTTACCATCAAGAGACCGCCGTTTTCCTCCGGTGGCATGCAGCCATAGGTGCGCTCCTCCTCGTAGGTGCCCGTGGTCTCATCGTAGACCTCCTCCACGGCGCTGAAACAGCTGCCGCCCGGTCGCGTCTCGCAAGTTCCATTCACAACATTATCTGGACAGCTGCCGTCGCAGTAGCAGGAGAGCGTGCGCGCTGCAAGTAGAGATTAGGGTGGGGGAGGGGGGATTAGTGTTTTGCTTGGCCTCAGATTTCATTGGGTTGCAGGCGCGGGCGCCATTTCGGCAACCGAATGCGAACGGGAATGCGAGTGTTGCAATAACAAAATGTGAGAGCGATTCAACTGACACCAGCGATCAAAACAAATGACACTTGGCAACACCTCGGAGCGCGATATAAGCCACTAAGCTGCGCCTTATGGCCATGCTCGCGCAGAGGAGCGTAGAGGAAGCAAACATTTTGCTGTCAGCATTTTAATTAGCTAAACATTGTAATTAAGCGACAGTCGGCCACTGAGCCACCAAATGCCGCAGCCACTTAATGCTGAACGAAAAAGCAACGCGCTGTTGCATGAAATGCGTTTAAGCATGAAGTGGGCCGCCTGCCACCAACTGCCGGCAACCGACTCCCGACTACTGGCTGTCTCGTGTCTCGTGCCGCGTGCCTCGAGTTTGAGGCTGGCTGCCTCATATCTGCAACGGTATATCGCGCAATTGATTCAGGTCGCCGCAAGTCTACAAGTTACACACCAGTTAGCAACCGCACGGTAGCTCACTTGCTCATTGGCTCAGTTGTGGGGCGCACTGAACAGTGTTGCCAGCTTCAAATTATATACAACTTCAAGATTTGTAATTCAGATACGAAAATGCATTTATAATAATTTGATCTAGATATTTAATTGTTTCCGGCATTCTAAAATAATGGATTATGCCTAGCTACTTAGCTTCTAATGCGAAAATTCTTGCTGTTGAAAATAGACGTTAATTCCTATTTTTAGCTTCGATTTACTTTTTATTTTCATTTCTGTTGACAAATTTATTGACATTCCGACTTTATTAGAAACAATTGAAGTTGCTCTTTATTTGCAAATAGGGACATTAATGAACGGAAAACAATAATTTAGGAAAAATCAATTTATTTTATTCGAATTAATTTTTTTCGAGTTCCATACAGTAAAAGCGTATCTAACCAGGCTAAGTTCATAATGCTTTCCCTTCATGGGGAAATTCATTATTTCAAAAAGGTAAAAGTTTTATTAATTTCAATGAATTTTCTACATTTATATCCCCACGGTTCAGTTAAAAATTTGGCAATTTAAAAAATAACTCAAATAGAGTGAAGCAAAAGGTTGGTTGGTTACATTTGTCACAGAAACTGCCATGTTCGAAAAGTCCTTTTTACTTTAGGAAGGCCCTTGTAGATTAATTTCATTAACAAATGTTCATAAGATTATTTAAAAGTATGTATAGGGGTGTTATAAATGGGTCCCCCTTCAAGCATTAAGATTAAATTTCGGGTTGGTGGTATGCTAACGGAAATGAAGAAGCAATCCTTGGCTTTCAGTCAGCATTGCCTATTGTCAAGCATTCAATGTATTGCTTTAAGTCTAGTTCAGCAAGGTTAGAAAAACTTCAGTTTTTTCAAATATAATATTTATAATTATTAATAATTCGGAAAGCAGCTTTTTCAGCCAAATCTGACGGGAAAAGCGCGCTAGAGCCTGCAGCTCTGTTTGTGCGCACTCCAACTAATTACAAGCGGCTTCTCAACACGGTAGCTCCAAAAAGCGTGGCGGCTGGTCAAGTGCGTCTATCGGTGGCTTGTTAGACCAATAAAATGGCAATTTATGCGCACTGGTTAACGGTACATTTGTATTAGTTGTTGTCGTTGCTGTTGTTGTTGTGGGCGTTAAGTTTTATGGACGCACTGTTTTTTCCTCTTCCCCTCCTCCTCCTCCTCCTCCTCCTCTCCAACTGATACTCATGAGCAAATAAAACTGCACAGAAGTGCCTTACAAATACACACTCCTGCATACATAGGTGTATGTTTGTGTATGTATGCATGTGTGTGTGTGTGTGTGTAGTATTTGCATTACGTGTGTTTGCTGCTCGCTTGAGTGAGTTGTGTGTTCCCATGGCTGGCCACACTCGTACAAGCGCACGGCCGCCCGCCCACAGCCCTGCCACAGCAGCAGAGCAGCGACAGAGCAGCAGCAGCAGCAGAGGCAGCGGCAGCAGACGCTGCGCTCTCATTTAATTACAAGCGCTTTACGTTTTTCCACAGCCAGTTGGTTGCATGTGTTTGTTGTTGTTGTTGTTGTTGCTATTGCTGCTGCTGCTGTCGTTGTTGTTTCATTCATAAAACGACTTTTAAACGTCTGCAGAAAATGCATTGCAATCATTTTTATAGTTCGAGAAGCGAGCTGATTTGTTTTTGCAGGCCAGAGAGGACCGCCGACAACACACACACACACTGCCATTGGTTTATACACATTTAAGCCATATTTTTAGACATTTTTATTTGCACGTTGGACGCTTTTATGCGCCTATTTATACGGCATTAAATGCATGTCTCAGCAATTGCAATTACAATTGTGATTTACAAAGGCGGATATGTGTCATACATACTCGTATAGTGTGAATGGGGCATGAGGAATGGGGCACATACATACAAACGTAAGTACAATACGAATATATATTTACAAAGTTTGCTAAATAAGTGGATAGTTCAGTTGTAGAAAGGCTAGCATACGAAGCAAAAAAGCTAACTGATGAGCTGGAATGAAGCAGAGGTCAGCTCTATTTGAAGACATCGTATGGTATTCCCGTTAACAGTTTATTCAAGGATTGATTATACCTATATCAATAAATCCAATCATTTGCGAGTTTACAATGGTACCAAAACGATATTTATAAGGATATTGCTATTCGCCATATTACATATATGTTGCAATTTGAAAATTAATTTCATTTCCTTTAATTATTTATGCGAAGTTTTCTAATTTTGAAACGATCTCCCTCCAGTATTTTACTATAGATATAATTATTAAATGCCTATCCAAAAACTCTTGTATTACTTGTTTTACTTGTAATATGTATGTATGTATATATGTATATAGTCTAATACCAACCCTTTCTGGTTGCGTTGCATCTTCAACTCATTGCAATGTTAGTCATTTTTGAAGCTAATATTTTGATATTCGATAGTTTTAGGAAACCAAAATCCTTAATCTTCGACACTTCTGAATTGTGGGTTGTGGGAGAGGCATATGGCACGACTTCTTAACTGTCCTAGATTTTTAAAGCATTTCAGTGGTTCCTTTTTCGTTAAATTTGCTCACATTTACATTATTCCTAACATCTAATTGCAAATTGAAAGCTATACAAAGCTTTATTTTAGCTAGTTTTTTTTCCGATACCTATCACTAAACAACATAACACATAGCATGTGGCTTATTTAGTATTGTTTCAAGGCTGACAAAAACGGCAAAATATGCCGCCAATTGCCGAGCGACATTTGACAACTATGTACATATTTGCAGTTCATGGATACATGCACACGGATAGATACAGATACTCGCATTCTTTCAGCTAAAGCTTTGAGCTACATTCGTAATGACAAAATAACAAGAACAACAACAACATAAAAAACAATCAAATCATGTTTAATTGCGCGAACGCCTGCCACAACAACAACAACAACAGCAACAGCCATAACAACAACAAAAGCTGCAAATCAACAAATTGGCGGATGTTGTTTGCATTTCGAGGCGTGCCACGCCCACCCAGCGCCCAGGCTACAAGTACAGCTCTGAGCGTATTGTGCACGAGCTAGATAATAATTTAATTACAATATAATTGCAATGACAGCTGCCGACGACGACTGTGCTTGTTGTTGCTGTCGCGCGCGATTCTCTGGCGGTTTATATCGCGTTGCGTATATCTCCGGTTTTTTGTCTCCTTTTGGCCTTTTGTATGCAAAACGTGACTATACTCGCTTACAATGACGACAATGTGTTTAAAATTCATTTATTTGAGATTCCTATCAACAAATTAAATGCATAAAATCTTGAAATATGCTGCTAAATTAAAAAGCCTTTGTTTCTTTTCATTTTAATTTTAGCCAAAAATACCTGTTGGCCAAGAAGCTGGCGACAAGATGCGAGACAAGAGACGAGAACGTAGCACAGTAGCTACAAAGCAGACAAATTATGAATTTTTTAGCTTTCATATGCCAAGACAAAAAATGGTTGCACGAAATCAAAAATAACAACAAGAGCAACAACCACAACCACAGAGAGATGGAAAAAATGAACATAAATGAAATTCTGAAGACAAGACGGCAGGGCAGTGGCGGGCAACTTTTTAGCCAGTTTAGTCAGCCATAACAGTAGAGTCGACGGAGAAGGCGACGACGTTGCGCTTCGAAATCAAAAATTGTTGGGCCTCTTGGCGGCTCCAGCTTGGCGCCAACTGCACGCGTTCGTTTGCCCATCAAAAGCCGAAAAAAACAACAAAAAACAGGCAACAAAGAACAAAACATAACAGAACAAAGCAAAGCAAATGATGGCTCACATGCTTGTATGTTTGTCCGTCCCACTGTCTGTCCGTCTGCCTGCCAGCATTTATGCATGTGCCTTGCACTAAACAACAAATTTTATTTGAAACTGTTAAAAAGCGCTTTCAACCGACCCTACTATCGCAAAGAAAGAGAGAGACGGAGAGACGGAGAGAGAGAGAGAGAGAGAAGGAGGAAGGATGAGGGGCGATCAGTTTCCGCTGCCACTTTAAACTTTAATGCGTTAAATTTTACAGCCGACAAATAGGCAAGGTAGAAATAGAAAAGCAAGTCTGTTTTATTAGTTAAATGAGCTTACAATTAAAAGGAAACACTTAGATATCTGCCACGACTACGCTTGTGACGAGCCAAGCACATACTTACTATGTACATATGTATGTATGTATGTATGTATGTGTATTGGAAATAAAAATAATTAGCTTCCTTCTACTTCTACAGCTCCGCCCAGCACTGTTAAAATGAGAGACATTTTAAAAAAGTAACTGTTTAAAGTTTGCACTGCTTGAATTTGTTCGTACACTGCTTGAATTTGTTTGTGCTCTGCAGCCAGCCGACTACTTTCCCTGCAAATATGATTTAGAACAATTGTAACTTCTGGAAGATTCAAACTTTTTTGC